GCATCAAATGATGCAAAGTGAGCCTCGTAGGAGTGCATTGCATATATATGTAGTATGTATGTATATTCGAATATCAAAGCAAGGACATAAACTAAAAATCAAAATATTACCATTTTTTAGATAAGCCACATATGATATTTTGAAGGGTAGACATGCATGCAAGCAAGCAAATCAAGGACACCTTTGCATGTCATATTCAATTCTCTTAACCAATCCCATTTTTCTTACAGTCCGACAAGGGAATCCAAATCAAGCATCAAATGATGTCATGATCATGAATTTTTGCAAGTGTGCTTACAAAAGAAATTTGTCAAACAGATATATATTAAGCAAATACGTGAGAGGACTACAATGCATCAAAGACATGAAGAGTTTAAGATGAAATGCAAAAGTAGAACTCTTTTAAATAAATTTATGCATATTTAGATTAGGTATCATATCATATAATTATCATTGAACCTTTTAGGAGTGCATTAAAAGTTCGTGGTCAAATGTCTAAACAAAGAAATCAATTTTAAATCAAAATACTACCATTTGTCTAGTAAGCCAAATAAACTAACGTAACAAAACACAAGGCAGCATTGTATTTCATGTTCAAGGCTCCAAATAATTCTCAGTCATCACTCACTATATATGAGCATCATAATAAGCAATGAATGATGTAGGGACATCAAGATTTTCAAAGGTGCATATAGAAGAAATTTTCCAGCGAAAGACATATATAAATAGCATGCATGTAGGGGGGCTATGAGCAGCAAAGGCACAGAGTGTCTAAGTTGGAAAGGAAAACTGGAAAAGTATACCCCCTCTAGTAACGTTTATACACTACATTTGCTTCAAATGATACAAATATCACTAAGCCTTGTAGGAGTGCATTATATATACAAGTTTCAATACCAGAGCAAGGATATCTATTTCAAATCAAAGGATTGTCATTTCTCTAGAAAGCACATATGTTATTCTAAACAAACACAAAGCATCCATGAAAAAGAAATTAAGGCAGCTTAGCTTGTAAAGTTCATGTAAATTTCCAAATTCCAGATATTTGCTACCACAAATTCCCCAAACACTATTCAATGGAATACAAAAAAAAAAAAAAAAAAGGATTGAAAGAACGATATTTATTCAATTGGCAACTGAGATACACAACAGCTTCCACATTGTTTATAAACCCACATATGGTATCTTTTGAAAATACATAATGATGTGCTTTATGCCCGCAAAAAAATAAAAATAAATAAGAAAATTACGATGCGATTTATTTTGGCACAGGCGCACAGCCATGTCTGCTGCATGTAACATGCATTTGTTGTGACAAGATTTTTTTTTTTTTTTTGGGCCAACAGTCAAGATTCTTCTATCAAGTCTAACTCTAAATAACCTCTCGATTTGTAATTATAAGATTCTTCCGGAACTGATTCACTTTCAGGGTTAAAACCAAACTGGATAGAAATTTATCGGTGATACGGTAACCCAAACATAGTGAGGCTGCAAAGCGAACCCCAACATCTATCTTTGCAACTTGCATTAGGCCACCGATAATTAAGCTTATTCAGTGCATCGTTGAATCAGAATATGACGTGAGAAGATCAATATAAACTATAAAGCCTCAGAAATATTCGATGTCAAGTAGGGAAAAAAAATATAAAGATAAAACAAAGGGCTGAAATAAAAATCAAATCAAATCAAAGAAAAAATAAATCAAAAAATAAAAATATCTTTCTACAGGAATTTCTAATTGAGAAGGTGAGAAAAAAAATACCAGAGCTATTGACCTGAAACTGAAGTTTATCTCTCTTTATGATATTTCCGATGCACCAGGGATTTGAAAACTTTTAGTCAGAGCGGAGATAAGTAAAACGCTCTACGCTAATAGACTGGACTGACCACTAATGCTGAATCCAAAACGATTTCCAAACCTGGTCCATGCCCCCTAGCAGCGCAGCTCTCCTCCTCGGGTGATTGATTGGTGAAGGCTACACGAATCGATCCTTCAACCTGCCTGGCGCGAAAGGCAGAGAAGAGGAAAATTTAGCCGTTGATCATCTCTCGCGTCAATCAAGCAACCCACAATTTGATCCACACCCACAAAGGTCGGAGCTTTGAAATGAACGTTCGGATTAGGGTTTAGATTTAGATAAGAAGGGCGCGGCCGCACGGGATTAATTAGCTGACCGGGTGTCTTTTTAATTGAAATACAAAATTGTTATTTTTTTATCAAAGCAGAATAATTTCTCAATTGAAAAGCATGTTTCGTTCCAAAAATTATAAAAGGTTAATTTCCCTCTGTCGCATTACACCCTTCCTTTTAAAGACGATTAAATAAAGTTTGAAAAATTAAATTTTAATTAATTATATTTTATAATAATCAATATTATCTTTTAAAAAGTATCCTATTTATTAAAAAAATTACAATTCAAGGTATATTTTTGTAAATAAATACTCCCTCTGTTAAAAAATATAAGGTATTTTTAATCAAATTTCACCTCCAATAAAGTAGTTACATACTTTTCAACTAATTCTATTTTTTTTTATATTTAACCCTATTAAATATCCTACAATAAATATAAAGTCATCATCAATAGAGTTACTTTTGAAAAAAAGATAATGATTATATCTTAAAAAATTAAAAATGCTTTATATTTTTTAAGGATGGAATATTTTTATATTTTATTTTACTATCTTTTAAAAGCAATATATTTTGTAAAAATAAGATTAGTTAACTCTATATGGAAATTACTGTTATAAATTAACAATCAGACATTAAATAAATGCAATCACAAGAATATATTAAAATTTAAAGCACTAATTTAGAAGGGGAACGCTTTTTTTGGACAATAAGTGAAGGTGAATCATTAAAATATATGTTAAAACTTTCCAAATTACTATACTTACTCTTTTATCATCATTTCTTGTGTGCAAAGCAGGCTTACAAATCTATTCACCACCTGATAGGTAGGTGTAAAAAGTCCCTCCAACTCCTGGTTCATTTCCTTGCCTGGGTCTCTACAGCCCATACAAGAAGGAAGTTCTATTTTTATTTTTTTTTTAATCCGTCATATTAGATACTCATGGACTCAGATTTTTTTTTTTTTTTTCCAGAAAGGTTTGCTCACATCAATACACTCACAGGCTCACATCAACGGAAAACACTCCATTCAATAGCAAATCAGTTCTAGGTCCAAAAAACATAAGATTGGCAGAATAAGGAACTTACGACTGAGAAGTAGAGAATTTCCAAGCATCAATAAGATCGGGAATATCATGTCAAACTAAGATGTCAAGAAGCATACAAGAGACTAGCGGGATGGGAAATGGAAATGGTTTCGTTGGTCTGGGAATGAAGGGAAGCGTCAGAAACATATCTAAAATAGATATCGGCAAAGTCGAAAATAGAAAAAAGCGGCAAAGAAGATACTAGGTGCGGAAAACAGCTACCATTGATTTCGGATTCAAGTCCGTCGACTTTAGCACCGTCATCCACCGTGCTCAGTCGAGTCAACCCCCGCTGTTTCCCGTCGTTGCTTGCTTCGCACAACTCCTTCGAAGAACACCCCACGGAGCTCCCAATGCGGCGGCTCGAGTTTAGACTTTAAAATTGGAAGAAGGTTGTCCTAAAATTCCATAACCGGCGGCCAGAGTCTAGGCTTTACAAAACAAAGGAGCGTCTTCGGTAACACGGGCCGCTGGGGTCTTATTTTTTTGTTTTTAAAATTGGAAGGTCTCATCTGCTGATTCTATACAATAGAGTTGATAATTTAAAGAAATAAATAGACATGGAAAAGTTTACTGCCAGCGTTCATGGTTTGTCAATTCATCTCTTCTCTTTTACTTCCATGCATCTAATAAATTGAGAGCTGATTTAATTTCTATTTTTAAAAACTGTTTTTTTTTTATTTTTAGAACACAAAATTGTGTTCTCTGTTGTTTTTTAAATATCTATTTTAATTTTTTTAATTTTTTATTTTCAAATATAAGAAAATGAGAACATCTTTAAATTGTTTTTGATTCCTTTTTCCGTTTTTTTTGGGGGGGGGGGGGGAGCGAGAAACAGAAAACGAGAACATCTTTAAATTGTATTTGATTCCTCTTTCCCCCTTTTTTTTTTTTTTTGGGGGAGGATGGGGGTTTGCAAAAAACGAGTAGCTTTCATTAATTAGAAAATTAATTTAAAAATATAAATTATTTTTAATTGAATCTCACCTCTTTAATAAAGTAATTAACTACTTTTTAACTAATACTATTTTTTTATATTTACCTCTATTAAACACCCTACAGTAAATATAAAGTCATTATTAATAGGGACACTTTTAAAAAAAAGACAATGATTACACCTCAAAAGATTTAAAAACACCTAACTCATTAAAAAATGTTTTACATTTTTAAACAAAGAAGTAACTTTTTTTAATACTAGCAACATTTATAGTTTTGGTAACAATCAAATATTTTTTAATTTTTTTTTTGCTGAAAACAATTCTAAAAAAACAGTATTGCAAAACAGTTTATAAAAAAAAAAAATGAACATGATCATACGTGTCCTTATACTGCTACTCTATAGTTTGGTAAGATTTTAATTTCATTCACATCAAACACGCTGTAATAATGGAGTATTTTCGGACGGTGCATCAGCCCATCGAACGTTAGATAGTTCAGGACACGCCAAAATCACCTTACAAGAAAGGCATCTTCAACTTACAAGATATATTTCTTTATTATTATTAAAAAAAACTTACGGAATAGAATGGACATGGCCATCAAAGAAATTGCCCCAAGCAAAATACAATAAGTGAATAAATAAATTGCCAACTTAGTGAAAAAGAAAAGGGATGAAAATATGATTGCTAACGACGAGCTCTGATACCTCATTTTCATCCGTTCCACTCGAACCATAGGGTAAGCCATAAGCCAGATACGGAACAAGGCCACATCCCTGGATTTCTATGTTGCTCTGAAAATAGGTAGAGCAATGACAGTTCTAAAAACGAAATTTTAGATTCATATTTCCCACCTCCAATAACATCATCCATGATATAATTAGAATCAGACTGTTCTATAGACGCCAAGTATGATAGTACAACTACATCCGCAAGAGCTAATATACAATTCTGGCAAATTCTCAACAGAGTCCCTTTACAGTGAGATCCTACTTTCGGTAAGATGGATGGATACAAGATGCCACGTTTGCAAGAATGCTGAGCACAACACATACAGAACCAAAACAGCTAAACTTCCAAACCACAACATCAGGTGGGGTCACCGATAATAAATAAAAACATCAGCGACCCAAGTAATGCAGAGGGCTAGAAAGAATGAAACTTCGATTCTCATATTTGAATTACAAAAATTGGGACTCCCAGAAAAGTACCACATGCACAAAGAAAGCTGCAATGCTTAAAGGGAGCAACTTGGCGAGAATGTCTGACTCTGAGCTGCTCACACTCAGCTGTCCCGCTCTAACGTACTCATCCTTTGTTGTGGTCACAGAGACATTCACAGACAGAGAACCTGGGCAGCAATTTCAAATTACGATTAAGTAAGGGATCATATATATTCCTCGCAGGCAAGCAATTGTCCTGCTGTGAACTTACAATCATAGTTAGCCCATCCAATTCGTTGATGAGCTAAGTCGTAGACAAATATCTTATCTTTTAGGACAAGATCTGCATATTTAAAAACAAGAAAGTTGATAAACTCAACACTTCAAAATCAAGGAGCGTCACTTGGAGATTTCATACAATAGATGCATAATATAGAAAAATAAGCATGGAAAGGCAATTTATGATTAGCACTCGTGGTTTTTCACAGACAAAATAAGCCAACTTCTATCATCATATGCATTCCAAGTAATCAATTGTTTTTTAACAGAAAGCACTCATTTTTGTCAGCCTTCGAGAACTTTAGTCTGTTTAAATAATCTAGTTCAAGATCCAACCTCCCAAAATTGAAACTCCCTCCTGCACCTTCTGGAAACCAATACACCACTCTGGAACACCATCCTGTTAAATTAAGTGGTACATCATCAGGGAATAATCAAGGGGCTACAATTGAGAAGAATGTCTTATCCATAAGTAAGGAAAGATCCAAGATATGATCAAACAGAACCAAGAGGCTTACAATGAAATCGGTACGTATAAGGTACTGCTCTGGTTTTAAAACCATGGATGCTCCACCAGCAAAGATCAAACTGACTGCAGGAAATATATCACCTACACTGAATAGATAACAAGCAAGATTTCAATGAAATTTTTATGAATCCTGTAACTGTATACCTTACTTTTATGAGAGAAAAGAACATCTAAATCTTTATGGGAAACGGTTCAAAAATAACCTGGTTGAGACCAAATAACACTGGCTTCCTCTTGAAATGATGGGAGTGGCAGACTGTGAAACAATGGTAGTTATCTGCATATTCATCAAGAAATAGAACACCGGTGTGTCGGTAAGATCAATTCATTTGATAGTAACAAAAGATGAATGAGGACTACAACTCAACCAGAGCTCAAGGGAAAGGGAAAGACTAGTTTGCTACCCTTCCACACTCCTGTTTGAAAGAAACTAATAACAATAAAGCAAGTAGACTCAACGGTGGTGTTTAATTTTTGAAGTATCTTATCCATGCAGGTGCACATTAAACCAAGTTTTTTTTTAAACGAAAAATAATTTAATTTAATTTGGATCAAAGATATGGGAAATTTATCTGCATCTTACTTGCAGGCAAAAGGCCTCATTCTAGACACAAAATGAATGAATCTGTGATCTCAGTATATATCAGATAAAACAAAAGGCACGTGAGGCAAAGAGCGTAAGTGTGCCACAATGAGAAGTACTTTCTCAGGCTTCATGGTTATTTACTAACTAATAGAAAAATCCTCATCATGGATTATGGAAACTACAATCAATTTTAAAACAAGGAACACCTCAATTAGAAGTGTATGATACACGAGAATAGGAGGTGAGACACAGAAACCCTTGTTTTTTATCATTCTGTAGTGTAGCTGATTAATGATTATAACACGCAAGAATATTAGCGTACATTTATCTGTTGACAGATATTTATTAGGAGAAGGGTGATGATGACATCATAGAATAATGTGACCACTTAAAGCATAATGCTCCAAAATTATAATTAAAGAACCTAATAACTTACAGCATTGACTAAAGGATCGTATGCTTCTTGAACAAGGTATGCCAAGGTTGTACCCGTATCAACTATAGTTCCTCGGTTATTAGATGTTGCAAAAACTGCTGGATTAATAGGGAGAATTCGTCCATTAACACCAATGCTCTGAAGATTTAAGTTGTAATGAGGCCTGAAATTTGGTTAAGTAGTCAAAGCACTGCAATATATTATATAAAAACACATGTATTAAACAACAATAACAGCGCCAAGCATTTTAAGAACCGAAGTTTCTGACAGTAACATCATCTTCTGCATTCATTTTAAGAAATTTGCATCAACAAATTAAAATATTACACTGTATACCACCTTTTAATTTCAGCAAAAGACATTTATTATTGGAAACCACAACCAACTGAAGAGTTAAAAGTTTTAAAAATGGTATTCCCCATCCAGCTGTTTCGCACTCTTTTTCCCAGGTGTAACATTTAGCATCTTCCCAAATAGAGATAACATGAAAAGATGTGTTAGGAAAGGGCTGGCAAAACCCTTCCTAACAATATAACCTTGAGAAACTAATATAAGCATGCTTGTCTGAATACAAAGAAACACAAGTTCCACTAAAGAATAAAATATTTTCAACATGCTAAACATTCACCAAGTGATGTTTAATGAACTCTCGTGAAATCATATGGCAGCATCAATCCCCCATCTCCTGTCATCCAAGTAATGTAATATAATATTATAGTCCTAATTAATTACTTTATAATTATTAAACAAGTGTTCAACCATTAATGTTAGACACTAATGAAAATGGCTAGTTTTAAAGATAAGGCGGAATGATCTAGGTTGCGTGCAACTTGGACATTTCCTCCATATCAATAAGATGTGATCTGCAAAAAAAAAAAAAAATCCCCACCAACTTGGGAAAGAAAATAAAAGATAAAGAGCACAAGAGAAGGCTTACTGTGATGGGACAAGTGGACTATAAACAAGACTTGGCTCCAAAATCTCACCGAGAACTAGTATGCCTCCTCCATTACCCTCTCCTCTTAAACAATGAGAAAATACTTTGGGAGTAATGCCTCGTGATGATAATTGCGAAATAACGGATAGAGCACCCGGACCAAACCCAAAAATTCCATCCACCGCTTTATCTGTCTTAGTCAAATCTCCAGACTGATAGGTACTACACCTGTTCCCAGGAAAACCATTAGTTCATTTCAGTTATACATCAACATGAAAGGGGCAAAACTACAATAAAAGAAGCATCAGGAAAAAGTGCAGATAAACTCCGAGATTGAAGATCAAGCCCCATAGAGTTTCCCTCTCTTCCATGCATTCAGAAACCCACTTACAGGCCACTCATACCCTGCCAATGTTCATCCATTCCCCTAAATTCCCCTCACTATACTTATGGATTTGCTATTACTTTGAACCAGAATATGACTAGATTTGCGGCTTAAGAAGATCAGAGTATAATATTTTTCAAGGGTAAAAGAAGTCATTATTTGGAAGCCTGGGCTCCTTCGACGGTTTGACCCTCTCATTACTCTCAACCCTTCATATGTTTCTACCCCTACATAAGCACGAACTTTAAAAATAAACAGCTCAAGAGCTCACCCAAAAACAACTTTAGTAGAAGAATTAGCCAGCATAGACTGCCCAAGGATCGTGTCAAAATACATCGCGTCAGAAACATAATACCCCGATGTCCCGCTTCCATCTCCATACTGAAAAGTGTAGCCGCACTGATTAATCTGAGGGGTGCATTCAGTTGCGGCACTTTGAGTTGAAGAAATGCATATTGGGTCTGAGCAGGAAATCAGCGCAGATGTGGATGAGCTGGCTGTATCAAAGAAATTGAGCTGAATCTGTAGATTGCATGGCATAACCAAAAAGAACGAGGCAGTTATGCTATAGAACGTCACTTTATTTACTAAGTTGCCAAAAGTATGCATACAGAACAAGTACAAAAAATTTACCTCCAATTGACTAGATTGAGGGCAATCACCGCAAGTATTGCAATTAACCCATAAGATGTCGCTTCCGGTATCAATCTGGACGTTGAATTCTTTTGGAGGAGAGCCCAGCTTCACTTTTGTATAATACAGCCTGAACAAGGAAAAAAAAAAACAAGATTACCCCCTGCTTGACAAGCAGTACTTTTGAGTTGTTAGCTTATTAAGCAGTGTCTCGAAGCAAATGATGAGTAACAGGAAAAATATTGCGATACGAAAATGAGGGTGCTGCAGAAAGTCGAGAGGAAGATATTGGGCACTGGAGAAGAAACAGATTCCATCAGCTAGAGGTGTGATGCAAATTCAGAATTTCGGAAACCCGATCACCATCCTTTCTCGGCGTCTCATTGAGGAATCCAAAAAGTAAAGTGAAAAAAACAAAAACCAAAAAATTACCTAGATAAATAGAAACCAAATGCTTAACTGAGAACGGAGAAGCGTAGAATACAGGCAAACCAAAAAAAAGCAACTTGAAGCAGCATAATAAATGCGAGAGCATTAAAATTTCTTAAATGCGAAATGCATGAAACGCGGTTGCTCGAACTAACCGTACCCAATACTGGAAGGATCAGAGATCCCTTTGACTGAGAAGTCAACAACACCACCTACTGCACCTTGCAAGATTCGAGCATTCCGAGCTTGGTCGCGAGCTCTGAGTGCTTGCAGCTCCACTCGCAGGCTAAGAGGAATTGCTCGTTCCAGAGGGAGGAAACCCCCAGACAACCCACCGTGAACCACCGATACCGGCACCAAAAAAGTGGCTAAAGCCAGTAACATCGGAAGAGAACTCCGCATTTTCGATGTTTCCAGGGTTTCCTTCGCAGAATTTAAAGGAAAATACCGCGTCAACGCTTGCTTGCGTGCATTAAGAGAGAGAGGGTTTCGGAACACCGGCTCTCCTTATCACCGTTTATCATCAGCTAATTCAGACTAGATTAGCTTGACAATAATGTCAAGCAGCAAGTGGCAAATTGGCCTGTGGGTGCTGCTATATATAGAACCTGTTGCGTCTCTTTATACTTCTTTTTACCCCCGCTTGCCCAGAAAGAGTGAAAGACAATTATTTTATTCTAGAATCAAATTTTTTTTCTGACAACTCTTGCTGCATCTAATACTACGTTATATTTTTTCACAGGTGTGACATTATATCTTCAATTACACCCGAAAGAGACCCTTTAACGTTACACTCGCTCTAAAAATCAATCCAAATCAAATTGTTGGGTGCCTACTGATTTCATTTCTCTGTTGTGATGTATCACTCGGAGAATAGAACAGAACACTTGTCTGATAACACCCAATTATCTCCTTTTGGCTTTTAATTTCCAAATCCAAGCAGATTGAGACCCCTTTATGTCCGCGCATTGATTGAAACTTGCAACTAGGTGACTATAGAGCGCACCAAGATTGAAAAGGATGGAAAGAGGAAACGTTCATTGAAATCAGCCTGAATACGGGGTCGAGATGACAGCGAAAAGAAAATGGAGGTTTTCCATCTAACTTACGTGGAAAGAAAAACACGTTTCAAAATTTATTTTTTTAACAAAATGAAATGCTATCAAGGGATACTCCCTCCATTTTTATTTATAAAAAACTGTCATTTTTAATTTATTTTTTATATAAGTAAAATTACATTTTTTAACAAATATTTATTTTATACATTATTCCTCATAATTTCATCATTTACAATCATAAAAAATAATTAATAAAAACTTTAAATATTTTAATACAATTCTTTTATATTCAAATATAATTAATATAGTTAACTAATTTTTTTGAACTGTGTGATGCAGTTTTTTTTAAATAGAAATAAAAAAAGTATAGTTTAATGATAAAAATAATTATTAAAATTTTAAAAAGATTGAAAATTTAGTGATGATGTTTTTCTAATATCGGTGCCACACGGTCATGTCATGAAAATTAGATTTGAACAATTCATATGTAATAAGCTCTCAGTGCTTATCTATATGATAAGCACCGATATTAGTTCTGATATGACAATATAATATGATAACTTTCTCATTAATTAAATTTTACTCCTAATAAAATATTTGCTTGTTTTTAAACTACTTCTATCTTTTTATATTTATATTTATTTAATAGGATGCTTCACTTTAAAATAAATATAAAGTGATTTATTTATTATGGACATTTGTTTAAAAAAATACATAATGATTATACTTAAAACACTAAAAGTGCCTTACATTTTTTAATAGGGTAAAAAGGCAAAAATACCCACAAAGTGGGCAGTCAGGGGCACCCAATATCCTTAAGTGACAAAAAGGGTCAAAATACCCATAACGTCACATTTGTGGATGCAGAAGTAACCAATTCGTCTCTTGCCTCTTAACTCCATTTATTTCATACGTTAATTGCTTATCTAGCCTGCTACCTGTTGTCTAACTAGTTTAACGCTGACGTGGCTTATTACACACAATTGCTCTGTGTTTGTTCGAACTAAAAAATCGAGAGGTTTATAGGGTTCATTTGGAATTGAGATTTTTGTAATAGGGAAAAAGAAAGGAAAAGCGCCAATGGTCGACACACGAGGTAGCGAAGGAAGCAAGGCTCATGTGATAGAAGAATTGCTTGCTAGGGTTTCAGCAGAAAAAGAATCTATAGAAGCACGGGTAAGCACCAATTTTTGTCTTTAGATTTTTGTCATCTAATTTTCATCCTTTGAACAGTGAAATCCCCTTGAAATCTTCAAATTTTCATCCTTTGATTTTTATCTTTAGATTTTCACTACCGGATTTTCATCCTCTAATTTTTGTCCTATCTTTTGTGAGTAGAGTAATATGGCTAGAGTCAATCCATAGAAGAAGAGGGTAATGACCAAGGACTGTTGAGTGATGCGAGGTGAGCAGAGCTTCTGGCTATATATTGCCAAATGGTAGATGCAGTAGACAAAGGATGGGAACAGACTAGAAGATGACTGAGAGGTGATTATGATTCAATAATTGAAAATATGTTATATGGTGATGGGTTAATTTCTGGGGAAAAAGTAGAGTTAACTTCTAAAGATAAGATGGACAGTGTGCAAGATGTAATTAATGATGACATAAAGGATGTAGAAGGTCTTGATGACATACCTGAAGACGTCGAAAGGATAGTAGAAGTAATAGATGAGTCTGCAAACCAAATTATTCAACATGGTAAGGACTTGTCTGGTAGTGATGTATCTGAGAGGGATGATAGTGATTTATCTAATAGTCAGGATGCGAGTTATAAGGGAGATTCTGTGGACGATGATACCAAGGAAGTTTAGATGATTTATCTCCATATTATGAAAGTGAGGTATCTGTTGGGAGAAGCAGTGGGGATTCATTAGGCCTTGAGGCTGACTAAGGGCTCGTTGAGATGCTTAGAAAGCCTATAAAGGAAGGAAGCAAGCCTTTTCTAATGTGGGCATGACTTTTCCTGATAAAAGTGCCATTAAAATGGTTGTAGACAATTATGTAGTACACACTAGTGTGATTCTAAGAATAAATAAGAGTGAAAAAAAATAGGATCCAGTATATATGTCAATAAGGGTGTATATTTATTCTCTATGCTTCCAAAGATGAATCCAATCCAAGTATGAAAGTGAAGATTTTGTGTTATGAGCACAAGTGTACTAGGTTTTATAAGAACCCATGAGCCTCTGTGTACTGGTTAGCTAACTAGTTCAAGGATAAAATTCAAGAGAATCCTCACTTCAAGCTAATGGACATGAAAAGAGATGTGGAGAGGGAGATGAAGGTGCACGTGAGTATCCACAAGTGTAAGCGAGCAAAGAGAAAAATACTTTGAGAGATGGGGGGAGTTATGTAAATGAGTTTGGCAAGCTAGAAGCCTACTGCAATGAGTTGAGGATCTCAAAGTTGGGAACTGATGCAAGTGTTAGGTTAGCAATGAGGCCCTAGAAGCTGGAAGAAGAGTTTTTAAGAGGATGTACCTCTGCTTCAACGCTTCAAAGGTATGAATCTTGTTTTTTTAGGATTTTTTTATTACCTTGTAAAAGTTATTTGACTTGTATAAATAATATGTTTCAGGTTGGTTGGAAACAGGGCTGTAGGCTATTTATAGGAATAGATGGGACATTTCTTAAAGGAAAAGCTAAGGGCATTTTACTTATAGTTGTAGGTTTAGATGTTGATGATTCCTTATACCCGCTGGCTTTCGGATTGATTGAAAAACTAGCACAAATTGGACATGGTTTATCCAATGGCTACAGAGGTCACTAGATCTTGGCAATGGGTCAAAAGTGACTATTATGTCAGATATGCAGAAGGTAAGATATACAAATGTCAATGTATGTGCTGTGTTGATGTTTAGTGTTCTTAGCATGTTTAATATTCTTATGTAGGGCTTGATGACTACTGTATCTGATGTGTTACCAAAGGCTGAGCATAGGCTGTATGCTCAGCATATCTATGCAAATTGGTCTAAGAGATGGAAGGGGAATGAATTAAGGAAGATCTTCTTTGCATGTGCTTGGAGCTCATTCGAGGCACAGTTTAAAGACAACCTTAAGGTTATGGACAACTTAAGCAGCTAAGCAGCAGAGGCAGTGTTAAGTTATCTAATACAAGCATGGGTAAGAGCTTACTTCAATTCTAGATGTTAGATATAGGTAGTTGATAACAACTCCACTAAGAGTTTTAATGTGTGGATTGATGAATATAGGTATTTACCTGTTATTAGCATGTTTGATGGTATAAGTGTAAAAATGATGCAAAAGTGGGCAAAGAGTGAAAATCGTGTGACTAAGTGGCAAAGTGATTATAGTCCTAAGTGTACAAAATTATTTAATAGAAATAGAGAACTTGCTTCTGAGTATACTGTTGTATTCAATAGGATAAGGGCTAAGAGGTCATTGAAAGGCGGGATAGGCACACAGTGTTTTTAACTAAGAAGATGTGTACTTGTCAGGCATGGGATTTGACTGGAATCCCATGCCAATATGTTATTTGTGCCTTATATCATGCGAAAAATTTGACTCTTCTATAACAAGGACTCATACACCATTAGTTATAGGCAAAAATTGCAACCTGTCAGGGGTAAGAATTTTTGGGATAGTGAAAATACTTTTTCTTTGCTACCACCACCTGTTTGCATGTTTCTTAGAAGGCCTAAAAAAAAGAGAATCAGAATCAAAGAAATAGATAGAAGGAAGGCTAGTGCTGGAATCAGACCAGAAAAATTAAGCAAGAAGGGTAGATCTATCACTTGCAGTATTTGCAAGAAAAAAGGACATAATAAATTTCATTGCAAGGAGGTAAATTAAAATTTACATTTCTATTCTGCTAGATGCTATATTTGTGAGATTTGAACAAATATTATATTAAATGTTATTATTTTAGAAAGCATCTTCAACTGAAATTCTTGTGAGCCAACCTAATGAGAGTCAATTGACTCAAGCTGTGCAACCACCTGTTTTAAGGAGAAAGCAACCAATTAAAAGGAAGCAACCAAGTGAAATGGGCATCATAATAAACGAGCAAACTGGCAGGACAATGTATAATGTGAGCTTATTTCAACAATTGTGTGACTTATTTCAATACTTGTTATAACTACTTTAAGTAGAATGTGTGTGACTTATTTTAATATTTGTTTTCATTTCTGTCTAACCAACAATTTTCCCAAACATTATAGCCTGGACAAATTTCTGAGCAAGTAATTATTGAAGGCTTTGGACAAAAATATCTGATGCAACATGTTGACCTTGAGACACGCTTCCCTATACCTAATGAGAAAGCAATGAGAAGATCAAGATGTTACACACTTAAGGTTGGAGAGGGGTCAAGAAAAATACCCTTAACTAATGAAGTAACCTTTACATCACAAAGTTTACAACTGCCAATTGATCCCCTTGGTTTAAGATGGAAGAGCCTAGTTTAAGATGGAAGGGCAAGGCATGTGTGACAACCTCACAACTTTTGGCAGAGAGAGAGAAGATAACTGGCAAGACTAAGGGCAACACAAGGAACATGTAATTTGTGTAATAGTCTGTTAAGCTGTCAAAATTAAGTTGTCTAATGTAAATTGTAGTTGATGGTATTTTGGCCACTATGA